TCAAAATAAGTAAAAGTTTTAGCGAAAATTGGGGCTAAACAGGTTCGTGATAAAATTTTGGAGGTATGAATAGCATTGCGCCTTCGAGTGTCGTGGATGTTAATTTTGAAGTTTTATAGAAATACACCAAAGCCTCCAATGGTATGCTCAGATATTTTTACGCAGACATCTTCTATTCCGAAAGGCGAGCTCTTTTCCAAGAGAAGATCATTGCAGTTATTCAAAACTTAAGTGAATGTCAAAATAAAGCTTTCATTGATGCGTGAAGGATTATTGGGAGAGGTCAGGGGGATGTTTGGGTACTGCAGATTGGCTCGATGGTTTTGAATCCTATTTAAGCCTGTTACAAAGTTTAAGCCTGAAGTAAAATTTTGACTTTCATAACCTGAGATGGATTGAAGCTACTCCAGTTTAACACCACTCTATTCTTGTAGTGATCTTTGAACTTGTTTGTGACATCAAGGGCAGCATCAACTGACTCGGAAGAGGTCTGGGCCGAGTTATACGTGTCCCAGATCTTCTTATCAACACCACTCACTGCCTTGAATACCAAGGTCCAACCTAGTAATGAATAACATGAAATATATGGCCGGTTTCCCGAAGTTTGGAATACTGAATCTGAACCTTGAGCCTCCAGAAATCATATGACTTTTATCTCCGTCTATAAAAGTAACATGATCTAAGGAACAGACTAAAGCGGAAGTCCGTTGGGCAAGTCAGACTTTCCAGAGTTCCTCGCGGCACGCTAATATGAATATTTGTTTTGTTTTGGTTTTTTTTTTGAAAGAGCTGCATGACGCGAAAAATAATTTTTTCGCCAATTCAGTTCTATGCGATAAACAAATAGCTGTTTGTGAACGCTACTTTGAGAAATTTTTAACGAAACCCACTGATATTTGACAAAACCTTAAGATTCTACGATTGTCTTCTTCAGTTTTGATCACTGATTATTTTACATAGAACTTATTCGGTGCCACAAGAATACGCTTACCTCCTGCGTCCATGTCGCAATAAACTGGAAAAGCACCCGAAACGCCTATTGGAAAAAAATTATGCCAAGGAAGTGAAAAATAGGTCGCTAGTGAATACGTTAGGACATGCATTCATTCATTCATTACAAAAGATAAAAAAAAGTTTGATTACCCTGCTAAGTTGATTCAGTGGCTGATGATGAATGTTAATTATGCTTTTGGAATGTTGTGTATCTTAGGTATCTCGCTATAAATGTGTCATGCAATATTGAAACCTTTTGCCCGACTTATGAACTTCGAGCTGAAAATAATATGCCTTTTGATTAAATGTTAATCATGAAAAGAGTGCAGTCTCGAAAACTTAAATAACCTAAAAAACAACCTCAGAGTAAAACTTGAATAATTGCAGAGTCAATCTCGCCAAGGTGTATAGTACGAAGCAATAAAGAGTGAGCTAGCAACTGCTCCGATACTAAACGATACTAAACGATACTAAACGCATGGCCTTTACCAATCTGAAAAGCCAATTTTGGATTTGTACTTTTGCAATAAAGGATACCGAAATGAGAGAGTCAGTAAGACAGGTACTATTTGTTCAAATACCCATGAAACTCTCAAATGAAGGCTCGAGAGTTAGCCTTACGCGGTATGAGGCATGAACCTATGAACAAATCACACTGATCAGTGCATTATTTTACTTTACGATTCCCTAGATTTCAATGCCCTTAACCTTTAAAAGAGATAGTTGGGACCTGTACTCGAGGCTGAAAAGAAAATAAATCATCTGAAATCTTAACAATACCTTGCAGTTTGATCCAGAAGACTCCATTGCTAAGCTGTATTCCAACAGCTTTATCCTTGATATCTTTACAGGATGAACCAGGATTCTTCTCGGTGCCGTATTCGATGTCCTTTACAAACTGGAAGGTCTTCCACTCGTTTCCCAAGCAAACTTGTACCTTGCTGTTTAAGAATTTCAGTGCTCCGGCATGACCTGCACTGTTGCAAGCACACGATTGATCACCCAACTTAAAGATGGTCGGAACGGGGTCATCGCAGTTTAACGCCTCCTCAACGCAATTTTGGCCTCTTACCTGCGCCACCAAAAAGGCTACGCACAGAATTTGGGAAAAACGTTTCATTGCGGTTCAGCACAAGGGTGACTCACAGGATTCACTTCAGCACAATGATCTAGCAGGGAAAAACGCACAATTTTAGAGCGAATTTCAAAAACTCATTAATAATTCATAAGTCCATTAACCTATCAAATGGTAGATAATACATCACGTGCAGTGACTTTATATGACTGAAACTTCGAATTCAAGATCATGTTTTTCTCGTATGCTAATTTCTAACGCAGCACGTGTTTTATCGGGTCAAAAACCACTCGGCTACTCCTCGTGGTTTTAAACCCGATAAAACACTCCTGCTCGTTTTTAAACATTACGTAGTATCCATGACGTACACAGCTGTGTTTAAGTAATGTTTAAAAAACGAGCAGGAGTGTTTTATCGGGTTTAAAACCACGAGGCGTAGCCGAGTTGTTTTTGACTCGATAAAACACGTGCTGCGAGTTTTTTGAACGGCTTCAAAAACATTCTTGGAAAAGCGTGTGTCAAGAGAGTTCATAACAATTATGCTTTTGTGAACGTTAGAAATTAGCATACGAGAAAAACATGATCTTGAATTCGAAGTTTCAGATGATGTATTGTCTAATATGCCTTTACCAGATTACTGTACTAATGGAATAGAGAATTTTTCCAGATGTGTATTTCACAACTATACTATTAATTTGGTGCAAAAGTAAATTTACTGTGTGAAATTTATTGAAAGAACATTAAATATGTTCCCACCATTTGTTGTGTCAGTTTCTGTGTTGATAATTAATTAATATTCATAAGTCACGTGCAGTGTCTTTATATCTGATAAAACACCGCATACTGATAAGGATGAGGTTTATTAATATAAAGTCACTGCACGTGATGTATTATCTACCATTTGATAGGTTAATGGGCTTATGAATTATTAATGAGTTTTTGAAACAGCTTTAGTCCAAGTTAGAATTAGACTCGAGGTTAAAATCACACAGCTTTAGTCCAAATAAAAATCGGACTCGAGGCTGAAAACATACGTGTTGAGTTTCTTAACCAGAAAAGGCTTTTATAAGCTTAGGATGGTATATGAGATGATTTGTCATATCATAGTTTAAAACAATAGAGACACAATTTTTGTTTTCAACTAACGTTGCCAGAAATTCGATAACGAGACATATGTGTTTGATATAGACTTGTTTGAATTAGCAAAACTCGGGTCGGCACGAAACAAATTAACTTTTAAACAGTAGATAATCTGCTCACAAAAATTACTTTAATTATCCTTGATTTGTCGCGATCACCTTCGAAAAATGAGGCAATTTGTCAACTTTTTTACTTAACACTCAGTAACAATGCTTGCTCTTCAATCAACCTCAGCTCGAATGTATCATTCATAACATGAAAATGGGCGCCCTCACTTACGATAATCTGAGAGGATTTGTCATGCCATTGCAACAATGAAAATTAATGTGTTATTTCCAAATAATGCTGCAAAAAAAAATGATAATGATTCATTAATCATGCTTAGCACAGACAGACTTGTTTGATCAGGAAACATTGCAACGGTTTCATCAAAAGTGTAAAAGTTTTCTCGAAATGTGCTTCAATCATCTTTTATTTGTCATGATCAAGCTAAGTAAAATACATGAATATACGGCAAGTGGCCAAAATTTTCCATGTCATTCATTATTCATAAACTGATTACATGTTTGCTTTTCATTCCTGACTAGTCAATGTCTCATTTGTAGCCTGACTATGAATCTTTTTGAGTTTAAAAGAAAGAGAGAGAGAGTGAGTTTCCAGCCGATAAACTGAAAAACTCAATAGAATATTAGGAAATTGTTTTTTCAACTTATTCTATCAGGAATTTTTATGGCCCAGCAACCATAAATCACCATATTAACCCAGAAGTGAAAGAACTCGAAAATTCGACGTGTTTAAAGGGCTTAACCCCTTTTCAGTAAATTCCTTGGCGTCTTCATTACTCACTACTTTACGATCTCTCAATTATCTTATAAGATATGTTCGCATAAAAAAGAATTTGTATTTATTAGAGGTAGAAACTATTTAACATTGTAAGAACTCGGAAAAACGTTAGGTCTATCATTATCGAGAAGAGATTGGCTCAGATGCCCCAAGGCTTTCATTTCTTTTTAAATGTCTCTACTTTCATCGACAATCATTCTTGCAAGACGTGATGCTTAGCATGAAACACAGATTTCGACTAATATGAAAGAGCATCTTTATACCAAGTTTAAATAAAAAAATTAAGATTAAAAGTCTCAGTTATCTACTCGATTTCTTCCAGGCAACAAAAGCATGAAGTGCATGCTTTTCTTAGGGTGATTAGTTCAGGACTGCGTCATATCTCGTAATGATCACCTCTCGCGAGGTGATTGTAGCAGGGGCGCTAAATTTCAATACGGCAGCCTTGCGAGGAAGTGCAAAACGTGCTAGAAGAAAATTCAAATTCTCCTGAGTTTGGAGAAACACTTTTCAAAGTAAGACGCGAAGTTTTTGCTGATTGAGTCAAGTAAACTTGTTTAACTGTCTGTTTATCGTGATATGGGTAATCCACAAAATATGCGCGATGCTTTCTTTATCTATAGAATTTACAACAGAATTCGGAAGCACCTGAGCAATTAAACTAAAACAATTAGTTGTCTCAGGCTCAATGAACAGTGATTAATAATCTCCTCGACTTTTTCTCGGGGATTATCCAACAATTTAACAGTTTTACGTAATGGCAGTAATTTCGCAATCTGGTTGACTGCGCCTCGTAAGTCCACAACATTTTGACCAGTGTGATGACGAATATCGCGGTCAATAAGAGTATAGACCATACTTGACCACTGTCCATTTGTTTTTTGGCTTTTTTTTTCTTTTTTTAATCGCAATATTGACTTAAGATAAAACGATTCTTTCAGTGCGTGACCATTGCGTTAACGTTGAATGAGTTTGGAGAATTGGCTTCTCTTTCATTTTACAAATATCGACCATTTTTTTTTCAATCTCTAACTTTATTAGTTTCTACTAATGTGATATAATTACTCTCAGCCTGTTTATCTCATTTTTAGAAATTTCTACCATGCAAAGAAAAATACGATTGAAACTCGTAAATGGAATTATCAATTAACTACCTAGGGTTAACATAAACATTTAAGCCTCCCTCACTCCCTCAAAGCTAATCCTGATATTTATGCTGTTCGTTTCCTGCGGTAGAATAGAAGGTTCCACATTCTCTTCTGCTTTTCACTGGCAGCCTTTTTCAAACTAAACTCCGACAGTTTTTCGTCTTTTTTAGAATAGACCCCAGCCCCTAAATTTGCCGCTAGTTCTCTCTTCTTTCGACATCCTGCATCGCAGTTTCTCCAACTGTTTGAGCAACTGAAACAATCCGCTGGCACTTTGCAGATTCCCACACATTGCCTGTAAGTACTGTAACAATCATTAGCACAGGCCGCGTAGTCGGCTCCAGACCTCTGGATTGCGAAACTCAGGATAAGGACCATGAGTAGTATTGAAACGGAATGCATCTGAAATGTAAAAAGTTTAAGATTAAAAAACGCAAAAAACAAACAAACAAAAAGAAGAGGATGAACCGAGAATATTTTTTATTTAATGTAACCAATCTGTGCACACATGTTATTGGAGCTATTCAGTTTCAATTGAGAGTCTAAGGTAATCCGAGACCGCTTTGGTTTTACTTACTTTGCTCTGTGATTGGTCAGAAGATTTGCACCATCCTCTTAACCACTCAGATGCAAGACTAAAAACAATCGCGACGTGGTCGCCCGCGTTTTCCCGCACTTCAACTATTCGATTGTTTTTACTTTGAGTTCTCATTGGCTAATGATGGTGTAAACTTTTATTCTGATTGGTCCCTGGGATTACTCTACGCTCCAAGCAATGTTGAAAACAACTTCAGATTTTCTAAATGTTCCAAGATTATTGCTAAGCTTGTAGAGAGATGGTACGGTTGGCTTCAAAGTTTTTAAATGTGTTCAGTATCAATTCAGATTTTTCTTAGGTATCGTAATAAATTTGTCAAGGATTGTAGCAAAAATCAAGAGGCCCCATCGTTCCAAACAAGAAATGACCACGAGACACCACACGCTTGTATAATTTGTGACAGAAAAGTTTGCTCGTGTTAGCTTTCTATCCAGCCATCTTATTAACGCTCGATAAATACTCAAAATATTTTTATGTACACAGCTACTTGAAAGATATAATTTTGTTCTTTTAATCTCGCAAAAAGTAAGGAAAACATAAACTGGTGAATTTTCTGCAAATCGATTAAGAAATGTAGTCCAACTTGTGTTTTCACATAGACTTCGTTTTGCTACCCCGACAGAAAGTTTAGCTATGCGTTTGTTTCTTTGAGAAAAGTTCTTTCATTTCATGACATATCTCTACGATTATTGTCTACTCAATGCTCTTAGCCTACGGAAAAAGTGTCATTTATCTGGCGTTTTCCAGCGGAGGCACATATTTACAACATTTGGATTAACCATGCAATACAGCAGATTTTCCGAATTAATAACCAACTAAGAAAGGTTAAGGTCACGGATTGCGTGATCAATGCAATTTTGTGGCCGGGCGCGAAGAAAACGCGGATGAGGGTAACGCGATCATTTTCCTAAATTTGACACAGCGACTGTCCTTTTTCGTTTTATCTTTTTATATGCAAGGAGTCCCGCCAAAGAAAATAATTGCAGTCAAGAGCGAACACCAATTGAAAAGAACACTTTTCAAATAAAATATTTAGAGTTCAAGAAAATTAACCTAACTCTCGCGGATAAGGACGCCCCGTTTTCCGATAGTTGTTGAAGCTGAAACTTCCTTAGACACGAGTCAATACCTGCCACTGTTATATTAAAATTGTTTCAGCAGAATAGTTCGTTTCCTGACGAAAAAAAATATATTTGTTATGTCTCGACTAAAGGCGTTTTGCTAAGATTAAAATCAACGGAAAAGCATTTTTTTTTTAATTGGAAACACCTTTTTGTTTGAGACACGTTCCCGTCTATACACGTGGTGTGAGTAAATAAGCCAATAACACAATCAGGTTCATATTCAATCAATAGATCGGTTTATTTTCTTCACCCGTTTGTTTGATAGACCGTATCGGTAAATGGACGGAGAAAACGGAAGATTTTCATTCATAAATTTAAGCAAGAGCCTAGTTCATAAAAATACAAAAGCTGTCTATGTTAGCAGTTCTCCAATTTCATTTTTACGACGAATATACAGGAAAGCTTATGCTATATTTCCATATTTAATATACCGGCTTATCCTGTTCAAAATGAAAACAAAGAAATTAAAAATTGGAAAGTCAATTATCTCACGTCTTGCTCTTGTCTAAGTGTCAACATTTTCATCTTCTTTTGATGGGTTAAGGAGCTTTTCTGACAATCAAGGCGAGACAAGTCAAACCTGACAGCGTTCGACGGATTTCGCTGTTTGAGGGGCTTCCGTTTGAGACTGTCTAGCTCAAAATTGCGATCATAATCGTGGATCATCACTTTTTTAATGACAATTAATTACATCTGGTTTTATCGGCACGATAATTTTTAGTCTAAGATCTTGACAAGAAGGACTCAGTTCCAAACTTAGGTTTCAATCACCGCCTTTTAAAATTCAATTTTCAATTTTCCAAAGTGAAACTGACTACTATGCAGTGAAATAGTTTGGTGTACAAGTATGCATTGAAGAAAAGAAATTGCCTCGATGAGCTCTATCTTTAAAACTTTTACTCATAATTTGATTAGTAAGGGTTGAAAAGAAAATTTTTAATTTTTAACGTTATTTAATTTAAAAGTATGAAACTCGCTGGCCCAAATGCGTTTCTAGGCGTGTGAAGTCGTTTTAATTTGAATTTTTTCCCGAATGATAAAACATAAATTACCGCCATTTTCGGGCCTAAGATACCAGCCATAGAATTTTTCATAAGTTGCGACTACTGTTTTTAATGAAACTGTCTTTTTAACTACTAAGTCTCCATTAAAACTGAATAAATTGTTGATGTGTTTATATTCCCTTATGAGTTCGACACAGTATATCATCCTCGTTTTATATCTAACATAAACAACATGATGAAATTATTAGAAAATGGCTTCAATTTTAATTTCCCAGTCATTGTTCAGTGCAAATTAACTTGTTCTCATAGAAGACTAAATTTTCCAACTCTTAATCACCGCATAGCATTTGTTTTCACGATGTTCTATAACCTACAGACAATTTATCTCAAAAATACAGAACACCAAGACAACTAGGAAATCTAGTTTTTGTTATGCTTTCATTTCACTTAAACTTATCCCAAGGAATCAAGTTTTTAAACATGAGAAGAAGAAATATCAGACCTAAGGAGTCTGTAAGGAACGAGCAATTTCAGTGTGAGTCTTGAAACAAGCGTATCTAAGTGAACTTTTGATTCTTAAAGCTTCCACAGCATTTTTCCGTGGGCCTTAATTGGCGTTACTTATTTGTCCGTAAAATGAGATTTCAGCATTTCCATAATCGTGACCCGTACACTTCCTTACCCAGAATTTGGCGTAAAAAAGGTGAAAGAACCTTGAATATAATCCGCGACGTCGCGTGAAAAAGCTTTATATTTTGCGCGAGAGGTGTTCTCGCAGAACAAACTTACCCTGGTCATCGAATAGATGGTCAGTGACTCCAAGTTTCAGTTGCCCTAAGGAACTGTAGAAACTGTTCAGCTGTCTCTCTTGGTGATTCTTTTATAGGGAAGCTTAGGTACATTTATCGCTTTTATTGTTGTCAGTTCATCCACCATTTACACCGAAGAAAACACAAAGGCAGAGTAATTAATTACCGGTCTGTTGGATTGTGGCATGCATGTAATTAGCTTTTTTGTTGTTCATTTCATTTTCCCTGTGCGCTATTTGTTAAAATTGATTTGAAAGGTATTGTGCGCGATAATGGCAAGAATTTTTCATTTCATTAAAAAATCCGGCCAAAGCAATCTGTCATCTCACCTGTTTCGTCTTATCTTCTCATCTCTAACTCTATTTATGACATTTTGAATACATTCTGTTGAAATCATGAAACGCTACGAAGTGTTACGGCCTCCCACATCGGGAGAACCCGTAAAGAATACATTTACTATTGAGTATTATCGAGCAATTTAACCATTGATTTCTTCATTCATGGTGAGTAATTTAGATGCCCTTAATTGCAGTAATAGTACGCGGGTTATAAACTCAAATGTAATTGGCTCCATTGATTATTGCTCTAGCGTGGTTACAAAGAGAAACATCTTCATTTCAAGCCCACTAACACGAAAGGGATCGTTGATAATAGTCTCAACATTGTTTTTTACATGGTAATGTATTTTTCAACTCAAGATCTTCAATGTACAATGTTAAACTGAGAAAGGTTCGGCTGATAGACGGGTGTGAAAATAAAGAAACCTTTATTGCTTGATCTCAATTCGTCACTTTCCACCTGCGTTTCATTTGGACATCCAAAGACACTGTTCTATACGCACCATTCAGTACGTCTGCAAGAATATGTCGTAGGTTTCGTCATATTTCTTCAACAATACCCTTCCGTTTTTTAACAGTGAAACTTGATGAAGGAACAAAGTTCTTAATTCCCAGTTTGATCGTGTTGTTTTAACAGCACTCCGAGGTGGGAGCGGAGATTTCGTCGGAGATTTCGTCGGAAATTGTGACGGAGGTTGCAGATCTATTATCTTTATTGTTGAGAGCGATATGATTCGACGCATATTAGGCAAATCGCGTGAATCAATTTTAACTTCAAACCAGGAGGTGATTTGAATATATATTTAGATACCAAAGTTCGTTTTCAACCAAGGCTTCAACTCAATTCTTGATCCAGTTCCGTGGGCCGCCTACGGGCCTTAGTTGTTTTGTTTGTTTTTTTAACCTTATGGTAGTTTTTGTTAACTGATGTCCGCTGTGCCCGCGCACGGAAAGTAGTAACAGTGAGTTGGTTTTCGCTTAAAGCGTACGCGTACCTCACGGGTATACGCGCGAAAGATAAACAAATATAACCAATCTATAGTATTATTCGCGATGGACGTTGGAAGTGTTAAAATTTTTTTACGAAACAAACTCTGCATATGATGTCCCTGAGCTCTTAGAATACACTCTGGACAGGCCGTGATGAATTTAACCGACTCCATGAGCGAAAAATTGATGCTTGCTTTAGCGGAAGAAATTAAATATATAATTTGATCCAACAATTTCCGCTAAAACCAGCGACTTATACATTATCCATATCTGATGTATGCTCGTGAAATTAGTAAAATAAACGCCCGCTTACGTGAATAAAATTACAGTTACTCCGTTGGTGAACGTTAGAAATTAGTTCGGAAGTCGTCAGTAAGTCACAAAAACGACATGTTTGAAGAAAACAGTTTGGCATGGTACAAATCATCTTTCAGCTATTTAAATTTGAACAATTTCAGAGTTCTTTCTTTAGCCAAGTTTATTCTAATCATGACCATAAACTATAAAGTAAAAATATTTCGAAAAAGCAGTGAAGTAAATCCATACAAGAGAATCACTGATCTGCTATTAATGCAAAAATAGGGAAGAAACTTTCAAATGGTTGCTCGCCACGGAACTTTTTCAAACATTTGTCGTCACCGGGGTCGATTTTGGTCTCGAAAGAACGAAAACTAAGAAGTAAAGAATGCATGCCCGTCATTACTTTAAGGAAAGATGATTTATTGTAATCTTTCTGTGAAAGACGGTTTGAAGATCATTCCTCTGAAAAGAAACTTCGCCGGTTTTTTTTTTTTTAATTATTCATTTTAAAAAATTGCAAGAACTAAGAATTATGAAATGAAAACGTGAGTACTCAAGTTTACAAGCTCTTATATTCTCCAATTACTTTGAATATATGAAAATCATATATGTGAACTACGGTTTTAAAGAAATGAATATCCAGGCGATCTTCGTAGTAATGGACGCTACTTAAGCAGTAGTGAAAATAAGGCCTGAAAAAAATTCAGGCTTGTGCGGGATTTTAACCCACGACCTCTGCGATACCGGTGCAGTGTTCTATCAACTGAATTAACATGCCAACTGGGAGCTGGTCATTATGTTGGTAGGATATAAACCCGTGAAGTGATGAACGCCACTCAAGCAGTAGATAAAATAAGGCCCGAAAAAAACTGCAATCGAGGAATTCTTTATATTATAATTCCTTGACACTCATTTCGCAAGAAAATAAATAATGCGTGATCAAAAAAGGAGAAAAGATAAATAATAATAGCGGGTTTGGCGCCACACTGCTACACAAGTAACTGACGATTTGTCCAACTTTGAGATCCAGCGAGAAATAAAACGAGGCCATTTTATCAATGCACGTGCTGATCGCTGCTATCATTATTATATACACATTGAAAGGAATCGAACAAAATCATTTTAAATTGATTTAAGGTCAATCTCTACAATCTTTATGCTCGGCGTGGCCTTAGTTAACAGGTAAACAGATTACCAACACTGCTAAATGCAAGGGATTGAGAGAAGAGATAGGAAAATAATTTTTCATTAATCAAACAAACATTAAACTGCAATCGAGGAATTCTTTAATAAATCCCCTCGTTATCATGATTGGTTTTTTTTTTAATTTAAAGTGGACACCACTCAAACTGTAAAACTGCCTACGTAGCAGTCACTGTTAGAATAAGGTGCCTTTAAAGAGAAGGGGTTATGTAACGCAAATAAATTGTTGTAAAAAGCTTCGCCGCGGATATGCGGCCTCGCGGTCTGCGGGACGCGTTTTTCATAAGAACCTTGTATTGGTCCTGCTCACCTGCGGCTCAGGGGTAGAGCATCGAAGCGCGGAATCCGAAGGTCTGTGGTTTGATTTCTAGTGAAGACTTAGAAATTCTCTGTCTCACACTGTGACAAGATGAAAAACATCTTGTATTTAGTCAAGTTTGTGTTGGATTGCGTTGGAAGAAATCTACTGTAAGTAATGTACTGCAAGATAGTCCATACATTGTAAATAGTGTAATGGTGTTGAAAACAAAATTTAGTGGCTCAATTGAATAATCCAAGATTGCCTCGGTGTTACTTAACTTCGCTCCGTGATTGGTCCAGAAATCTCGCACCATGCTCCCAACCAATCAGACGCTAAACTAAAAAAATTGCGGCTTGGTCATTAGCATTTTTCGACGCTTCACGCATTTTGGTTTCTTTTTTTTTTTTAATTTGAGCTCTCATTGGCTGATGGCAATGTAAAACTTTTTTTTCCGATTAGTAGCTGGGATAAGTTTGGTTTTGGTTTCTTAACACTTAATTGAAACTGCTCTAAAGCAAGTGAACAAATTAATGTGTTCAATTAGAGAGCAGATGCAACACATTAAGACATCAATTACCGAGTTCCAAAAACCCGTGTTTTCAAAACAGGACCACTCGCAAAACCTTCTTTAAGAAAGTAAGTGTTATTTACATAAGAATGAAAAAAACTCTTTGTATTTGCACTTGAAATAGATTGATTTTGGGAATCTCGGAAATGGCGTTTATCATTGATAGCGCTTCCTTTTTTTTATACAGTAATTGCAAGATTTTTCAATTTCCAAGGCTACGCAGATGATGACCGCTTCGCAAATGAGAAAACAGAAAGCTATATGCTCCGAAGGTCAGGCGTCCTAATAAGCTATCAAATTGGAACTTGGTGAAGTGAATCAGTTACATAGTTAAGAAAAAAATTCTGGGAACGAAACTGATTTGAACATCAATCAAAAATCTCTCAGGTATTTTAAGTACTTGTAATGACTTTGATTCAGTGGTTTCTGGTTATAAAGACATGCAGGACTTATTCCCTTCTTGTAATGCTACTTCTCTATTGGGCGCTATCTTTTGGATATCACGGTTTTAGGGCAAGTCAAATAGCGTATACGAAGTTTTCAAGATATTTGTCCATCAGCGCTCCGAAACTAACTTATTTAGAGGTTCTGCATGGCTGTGGGGCTTCACACGTATGTCTAAATCTCAAGTAGCTTGCATGCTCTAAGTGACATAACACTCTGTTTATGACCTTGGAAGTTCAAAACCCTTCAGCCAATTATATATATTTTTTTCAAGTTTTGAACGTACCATTAACCTCTTTCTATAATATTTAGCTCCACATGTGGAGATTTGTCTGTCATTAAAGATTTTTGCCGCCATTTAAATTTCCTAGGTTTCGTCCACGCACCTGACTAAGAATTCACAAATGATGAACAAATTACGCTTATATTTTTTTCTGAAAATCGCTAATTAAAAGGCTGATAGAATTGTTTCAGTTTGCTTTGAAGTGAACTTGTTTCGCGATTTAAACCTGATATTTGAACTAAAACTGACTGGCTATGGGCATGAACGTAGTAGTTACCTCAACGAAGAGTGATTTGTTCCCAGCACTTAAACTGTCCTTCGACTGTTCGACACTGGCTCGGAATGAGTCTTTAGGAGGAAAATCAGTTCCCCTTATAGTATAGAAAGATGAACAAAACAGTACGTAAAAAGCTGTTTTGTTGCTGGGTTAGACATCAAGTGAATTTACCGAATGAAGCATTAAAGGCCAGCGAAGTCTTGTGAATTAAAATAATTTGCACACTTTGAAATGGACGCCCAATAAGTGATCAGTTGTTCCTCGAAATAAAAATGAATTTATGCAACTAGCCGGCTCTGTCTGAGATAAAAAGTTTTTGACACGTAAATTGCATTCATTAATACAAATACTTGGCGATCACAAACGAGACAAAAAACCTGAAAATTTCTGAACCATAATTTACTTCTCTGCACGATGCAAATTTCTTTGAGCCAGACTTTGCACTGCACATACAACTTGCGGTCACACAAGAGACACTTTCGTTTAAGAGAGTAGCCCTATAGCCAGCAGAAACAGGCACTATCGTGTTAGAATCATTCTCTTTTAGCAAATCGTCTGTTAAATCAGCTGCATCAATTAGCTAAAAAGAACACCAAATGCATGTTGTCAAACCAAATTATATCTCTCTGCATAGATCTACCGCTAAATAACTGGCACTTTTAAGTCAGACAAGTAAATTCACAAGTTTAGTGGCTCGGCGCTAATAAAGAGTTCAAGCCAAATTATTTTTTTTACAAAGATGCTTAAGTAGGGGGGCATATTCGAAATTTCTATCGGTTCCTAGTTTACAAGAAATGGTGCCGTGAAATGTGAATTTTCTGCTGAAAAAATAGCTTTAGCCTCTTCAAATCCAAAGATATTTCTCACCTTCGTATGGAATACTTTCCTTTAGTAAATCGTTATCTTCATGATTACTCAATTTGCGTAAGTTATAGTTAAAGGAAGCAGATGTGACCATTTATCATGATAAGAATCTTAACTGGAAATACCAAACAAACGAACTGGGGAACACATCCAAACGAAAATCAAACGATGATTTTAATGATATAATATCAGTGTGCCAACACCAAGCTTCAGAAAGTTGAAAACCAACTTTGTTCCACGGATTAACCCTCACGTCCAAAGTAATCCAGAGAAATTATCTTCTGAAAACTAATGCTCTGTAGGCCGGGTGAATTTTAAAACGCTGCTCCTCAAGAAGGAAAACATTTCGAAAGCCTATTTTTACAAAAAATGCCGACGTCACTTCTTTGTCTATTCATCGGAGGAATTAGCTCCTTATCAGGCGCATGCGTCAGGATAGAGTTGCGCCGATAGCAGCCCGTTGCGCGGATTACCTCGAACCTATGCACTGTACGATCATCGAATAACACTATGGGCTCGTTTGGGGACAGTGCATATCCAAGAAGGCGAACAAGAAGTCGGAGAGGTTGAAAATTGAAAAGTTTTCATGATAAAAATTTAGTTTTACGCATCTGAAGCTCAGTTTAACTGTCGAGCGTTCGGATGATTACACTCATTGAGTTATCAAAACGGGATAGTCCAAAGTTTTTAATTCTATTTATTAATTTATAATTTTAATTAAAGTGCCTCAATCAAATGCCGTTATATCCGGCAACGTCGCCACATGTATTTCACAACAACCACATGTATTAAATTATTACCAAAACCATGCGATGAAAATTAGCTGAACTCTACGAGTAATTTTACATTACCGTGTAGGCATAAAATAATTTAATTATTTACTGCATCAAGCGTCAAGTTTGTCAGAAGCCTTCTTTTGCAATTTGTTATATTCTGTCACAACTTAGCGATTAGCCTGGGTCCGTTCCTGAAAACCTCTGGCGTAAAGGTGCCATGGAAACCATAAGGTACATGGTGCTTCAGTTTGATACGTGCCAAGGGGCCCTTTCCAACATCCTTTGCGTCCAGCACACAGAACTCGGTTAGGTGCTTTTCCGGTATGTACACTTGAACGATGACGTAGCCATCATCTTCGTCGCCTTCTAGCCACGAATCGTAACCTCGTCGGGGCACGAACACAGGTTCGCTCAGGCAACCGTGAGAGTACCAGACTTGACGCTCCCCATTTTCAGCATTCAACTGCGTATCAACAATAAGAAAGAAATCACTGTTTTCGAGTACTCTCGAAGACAGTTTAACGCTAAAATTGGTGTCCCACAACCGCGGATAAAACGTTTGAGACAACTAAGCTGTTTTATGGTATTCTTATTTCTAACTTAAGCGAGGTCATTATTGATTAGTGGGAGGAGGGAGAGAAGGTTTTCTTTTCATGTCAGTTGGTAATATTTTGCGAAGTAAAGCCATTCTATTCTTGTGAACATACAGTGACAATATATTTTGTCGCGATTTTCGCGAAAATTTAATTCTAACCTTCACCACATCCCTATAAGGGAGGTTAAACCCTGGCCTGTCGCACGCCATGAAGTAGTTATAACGCGTGCCTCGCATGCCATGCCTGTATGGATGCGTGGAAGGGAACTCCACGCTCGCACGATCAATTTGTGTTCGTGTACAGCGCTTAGTGTCCAAGTCGATGGTGAATTTGTAAGCGAGACCCGGGGAGACTGAGGTGTTGCTGAGCCAAATCTCGCTATCAAATGTCATGTCGAACTTTGTGTCCAGACACACCGCGGAGAACTCAATTCTGTTCCCATCCTGCTGAGCCGTGCCAAAATGGAAAATCTGTAGCATGATATAAACAGATTTCATCATTAATCCTACTTAAAAATTTAATTTACATTCAGACATGGTTTGATGCTACTCTGGTTTACAGATTTAATGATTGTAACTGAAGAAGTTACAATTCATAGGCCCAACGTTTCGACACTCCTGTCTAGTGCCTTCATCAGGGGTAGGGTCAGGCACTAGACAGGAGTGTCGAAACGTTGGGTGTATGAATTGTAACTTCGTCGGTTACATTCATTAAATCTGTAAACCAGAGTAGCATCAAACCATGTCTGATTGTCCACCTGGTTGCCGTGTGAACTTTAATATATTTTAATTTACATTGTTTGTTATTTCATTAGACCTGTTTTCGATTTCTCGATACTAGTATGCATTAAAAAACTTGATTTCTGTTCTGTTAAAAGCTCACGGAATAATGCTTTTCGCGCGCTGTGAAAAGGAATATCTTTCTCTCCAGTCCCCAAATTTTTCCCTTAAGTGTTCTCTCCTGCTTTCCTCCCACTCCCCTTGTCCGAGCGGAGTCTGGGAAGGAAAAAAAGGACTCCCGATTGACAAAGGGGGTCCAGGTTTGGCAGAGCTGAGAACAAACAGGCATTAAACCCATTTCACTACAATTTTTTTCGGCGCTAAGGTTTGAGACATGGATTTGCGTTCGATAAGGTTACGGAAGGGACGGAGAGCCACAGAGCTAAAACCGATAATAATCATGACATCCAATCAGAAAAAAGGAAATGACCTTAGAGAACAAACGAGAGAATCTTATAGGACCAAACTCGACACATGAAAACCGCCTTGAGCGCGGTAAAACACAATTCATAATTGGTTTTTGAGCGCTTGTCGATTTAGTGTAATCTCAACGGCCAATCAATATCAAGGAGAAAGCCTTTGAGAGCCAATGAAAATGTAAAGTAAAAACAACCAAACTGCTAAAGCGCGGGAAAACGCGGACGAGCAAGTTGTGATTGGTTTTTTAGTTTTGCATCTGATTATTAGTAGAGCAAGTGGCGTGAGTTTTCTGAAGCAATCACAGAGCAAATTAAGCAAAATCGATGCAATCCCGTAGTAGTTATGACGCTCAATCGGAAAGCCCTCTTATAGCTTAACATCTGATTAGTTGAACGGGAAGTCCCAGTTTTCTAGACCAATCACAGAGTGCCACGAAGCAAAACCAATGTTTTCCTAGCTTTCCTTTGATGCTCCATTGAAAATTGCCCATGCTTTGGATATGGAAAATCCAAAGATAGAAACTTACGTGACAGGGATCCGTATCAACCAGTATTACACCTGCGCTATCACCACTGCCATGCCGTGGTATGATGACAAAGCGAGACGGCAATTCTGGGTAATATCGCATTTCCTCCCCCGGGGAACTCAACCCAAGCATAATCTTTGCCTGGGTCCACCATGTTCCCTTCACAAAAGGCGTCATGTGGAACACATAGTAGTCTGGCAAAAGGATAAAATCGTGAGCGTAATTCAGTCCTTCAATGTGATGGACTTGCCTCTGACAGAGCTGCCATGACGGATCAAACTCGTACACTGCCAAACTGGGCCTCTGTGAAAATCCTGGACGGTGGCTTATGCACACAAGTCGCTGAAAAAAGAGAAAACAGTTCAAATATAAATGAGGACTGTGTAAGGGCATGGGGAAGGAGAGACGGGGTCTATTTGCCCCCCCTAGCTAACTTGAACCAGGCATTCGGTCGGTGGAAAAAGCAAGCATCCGAAAAAATGGCGCGGGTAACGCAAAAAAAAAAAAAAACACAATAATACTTGGAATAATAATAATAATACAATGTAATAAGAGAAGCTGTCTCTGGGCAGCTATGAGAGAGAGACTATGACAATTTTAATTGTAATTGTAATTGTAATTTTGAATTAAAACAAATTAAAAAATTTCTACATCATTATTAAAAACCAGTTCACCTTTCTTTCTGAATCAATTCTAAAATGAGCAGCAAAGCATCCAAGCTGTAAATGACCATTCAGATAGTCAGGACCCAGAGTCTCCAGTGTGTGTGGATCCAGACAGTAGGGAACTCCAGTCTCGTAACTTGTCAGAACCTTAGGACATAAAAAGTATTATCATACATACAGACTATTTGCAAAGGATCATGCAAAATGTATTTAACTGGTGCAGATGTGCAGATGGTATAATTGGATTTTAAATTCCATGCAAAATCAGGAGTACACCTCTCTGGAGGGTGCAAGAAAACCAGCAATTGTCTACCCACTTATTTACTCCTCATTATTCTCGCCCTTGACCAAAATGAAGAACTTCATATTGTAATTTTATTTAAGCCCCATCAAAAGCTCAAATGAAGATTGGTCATACAAGGTTTCTTCCATACCGTAAACAACAAGAGGAAAAACACTTAATTTGGACAGGAAACCAGAATTATAGTAAGTTACAGTCAGTCAGGTGAGTAATTTTCATGAACCCTGTGTCAAGGCAGTGGTGAGGGGTGAGGAGGGAAGGTGAGGGAGGGAGGGGAGGGGAGGGGGAAGGGGGGAAAAAACCAGACTGTACAGTTCCTACTTGTCCATCAAGCAGAGATATGATTGAGAAACATTTGTTTCAGTGTGTGGGCTGTGGGGCAGATGAAACTCTGGCCAGTGATTTATGCTCATCTGAGAAACTTAATGTGTCTTAAGCACCTGCAATTATGTAAAGTTACAGATTGAACAAGAAAACTGAAGTTGTCAGCAAATGTCCCCATCAGAAAATGTTTTCTGCCACCAACAGAAAACTTAATTCCAACTATTATTGAATTTTAAATTCAATTCAAAATTCTGGTTGAAAGTGCAGAAAAATATACATAGGCAGACATTATTCCTGTAGTGCATTAACTTTGAGTCACAACTCTCTGTCTATAAAGTTAATAATTAAATCATTTAATATAATTGTATAAGTTACATGTATGTATGCGTATAGGCATTATAGGTCTTACGTAATATATAATAGGCAATAAATCTCAGTTAACCCTTTAACTCCCAAAATCTGATTGATAAATTCTCTCTTCTAGCTGCTATACATTTCCTTCTGAATGGGTTGCGAGAATTTGGTGTTCCATCAAGATAATATCTTGTACCTAATAAGTTTGAGTAATCTCATGACCTGTTTGCTGGATAATTTATGGATACAATATAGAGAAGTTACATGTTAATCACTTGTGGGAGTAATAAAGGATTCAAAGCAGAATTTCTAAAGCTAATCACAAATAAGGACAATTTTACTGTCACTATTGAAGTATACCTTACATCTGGGATTGCAAAAGGATGCATACACATTCAAATGTAGAAGGTTTCAAACTAACAGTCAAAATTAATTATCAAACAGCAAAATACCTTTCCTCAAAAAGTAAAGACTTGGAAACTTTCTATAAGAAATGGACTAAAAACATTCCACTCTAATCTTGGGTGTTTCTCTCTTTCACTTTGCATCAGTAATAATTACAATTATTGTATTAGTTTTCCCAATAGTAACTGTATTTCACTTCATTGTAATAGTGAGACTGTACAGTAATTTAAATGTCTTATTATTGTTAATATAATTAATATTGTTTTAGAACAATTGTAATGTTTAATTTTGGTGAAAATGCTCACAATAGTAATTGCACTGCTGTTGTTGGCCAAACTTCCTTATTTCTGTGTAGTAATTTTAATTATGTCTGTAAATTGTATTTGAAATATGATAAAAAAAAAATTGAAGTATACCTTGCCACCCCAGTAGAATGAATTTGTATTGGACGGGTTGCGAAATTTGATTGGTGGAAATCTCCAGGATGTCAAAAGAGTTCCAAAGGCCTTTAAAGTTGAATGGGACGGCATTGTTCCCATCTGACCTTGATACAGAAACTGCTTCTTGGCATTTTCTTCGTGCCGATGCTTACTGTTTACAAATTTGGATTGAAAATGCACTTGACCATCTTGGAATGTCACAGCACAAAGCATTCCATCTCCATCAATTGCTTAAATGGAAAATATAAAATAAAAAAATTAAACTACTTATTATTGATATCTTAATTTATTTGATTGAGATATTAAAGGTTAGATCTTGTCTTAAAAGTTCAGATGCCCATTTCTGTAAGGGCTTGAGGCTGATTGCTTTGTGTGGTATTTAAACATCAGTATGCATATTCTGTTCTCTCTCTCTATTTCTTATGGCATAGACAGAGAGAATTTGTTTAACAATCAAGAGCCTCTTAGTTGGTGATCATTTCCTTTATTCTCAAGACCTTCATGTTTGATTCAAGGGTGATATTGTAAGGTAAAATTTATATTTTTTAGCAAGATATGATGCAATCATTAACCAATCAGAGCACATGCACCTCTATAATCACTGGAGCAATTATTTTCATGCATATTTCAATACCTGCCTGGATATACAAAATGACATGGCAATGGTAGTTTTCCCAAAAAATATTGTTGAAAAAAGGGACAAAAGTGCAGGCAAAAATCTCAAAAGCTAATCTGGGTATGCCGTAACCAATGAATTTAGTAAGTGAAATAAATAAACTAATTCATCAAACCTGTAATGGCTCATCCTAACAGTAAAATTTTCTCAGATTTCTCTGAAAGCAAGGAATCGCCGGTGACGTAAAAAAAAAATAACCAGCATACCTTTCGGGGTTGTCCCGTTTACTGTTACGATTATTTCTTGAAACAGCTGTAATCGACTCTAGCATCTACCGTTACTTTTAACTAAACATCTTCGCCTTTAATGTTCTCTTGTTAACTTTAAGGTATATTTTAAATTCGTTTTGCTGTTTGTTTTGTTTAATAGGATCTGAGTACGTTCAGCTTTGTACGCGTCTTGACACAGCCGTAATCGACTCCGGCATCTACCGTTACTTTTAACTAAACATCTTCGCCTTAATGTTAACTTGTTAACTTTAAGGTAGATTTTAAATTCGTTTTGCTATTTATTTTGTCTAATACGATCTGAGTACGTTCAGCTTTCACGGAAAAAATTTCCGGAACATTAATGCGATTCACTGTCGTTAAGCTTTAAAACGTGCACTGCAATTGCAATTTTTTGCCCTTTGACCTTTTTCAAAGCTTCCAAAGTTTTAAGAGAAAACAATTCATCGTTATGGGTTTTTTCATTCTTTTGGCTTCTCTACAACATGCAAGAGTTTCCACGCACAATTGTATCGACAACTTTGAGCTGTATCTAGCTTTGTTAGATATTTACTTACGATGTTTTAACCGAGTGCCATAGACTTCGCGAAGACCGGGGCCATTGCGAAACAGAGTTCCTCGCAAATCTTTCGGTATTTCGCCGACTATATCTGCTTTGGGAATCCAGTAGCAGTATTCCCTTTGAGTTTCCCACCCTCTCTTGCATTTATTGGGATCTAGAGGCCGTCGAATGTCACCACAAAGAGTATCCACATCTGCCGACATGTTACAAACGCGGTGGAAGGCAGAGGTTGAGGGCGGGGCATGGGGAGGGCATTGTTTACTCGCTTCCAGTCTCTAGTCAAGGTCGTGAATTCAAAGTTCGTAAGCGATTTGAGATCAGGCCTGAGTAAAATTAGACGCTAAGGAAGTGTTATCTCGAGTTGGGTTGGGAATTTTTGTGGGCAATAAAATGATTTCGATTGCAGTTTGGTGACAATAAGCGCGATTAAATTTTTCAAAGACAACAAAATTGTACGAGTCCTTATGGCAAGTGCAGTTTGTAGTCTTCGAAACATTTACAAGTGCTTATTGCACCACATTGCAAGAGAAATCATGTTATCACTGGTTAATATGTACATGAAAAACTTCACAGAGAGTCAGGACAAACGAAATTTTGAAAGATTGTATATTGCACTCGTGTTACACGAGAATGCATCTGTTTTCAGCCAATTGGAAGCGCGTTATTTTTTTTCGTATACATCATTAGTCGTGTGATATGCGAGGTCGTAATAACAAGTGTGCGTAGCTGGTGCTTTAACTTTTGCTACTGGTTTAAGTTCAGTTAAGATCCGAAAAAAAAAAAGCTGTGACGTATTGGCAGTCTGATAAGAAGCGTACAATTTCTGAGGTCGAGAACCAAGCGATATAGCGATATATATTTTAGTATGCTCAAGCTCACAAAAATTGTCATCATATAACCCAATTAATTTTTGGAATCGCTTGACATTTATATACCAACTTTTCAGTGGCACTTTGGTAAAAATTTTATAACTGCCGGGCATTTAGTCCATTCAAGACCATGCCCGGAAGTCTGATCAGAGGCGTACAAGCGACAACCGAGCGAAATAAAATTTAAGGCACGCTCCAGCTCGGAGAATTTGTCCACTAAAAAGTATGCAGAAATAATTGTCGGAATTACTTAACATTTCTAAACGACCATTTAATATTCTTAAGAAGTTTGAAATAACCATCCGGTAGAAATTCTGGTAAAATTTCCGACTGCCGTGTAATAAGCCTATTTGAGACCGTGCCCGGCTGCTAGGTATTTAGCCATAGCGCCGAAAAAATGTAGCTGTAAGCATATACTCGAGGCATTGAAAACCGACATACTGCAGATCTCGGCTCTTTTTCGATTCCTATCACATCCTCAGGAATTTTCCGTCAGAGAATCCCCTCTGACCCCAACTGCTCCACCACCCTAGACAACAACTCAATTTGTGAGTGGAAAAAAATTAAAGAAGCCACGACAGTCACATGCATGACCTATGACCACGGTGAACTCTGTTATCCCCTCTTCACTTACCTAGAAAGATCTCGTTCTTATTCCTTATCACGCGGACTGGGATAAATAAAGCGTTTTAATCCTCTCATAACATACCGATGATGCGCGTTCCGTCGTCATTTCCATGAAAACGAACATTCTTGTACATTACTCTCCTTCCTGTAAAATTTTTCCCTTTTCCTTTTCTCGTTATCGAACAGGAAAAGTTGAAATCACGGTGCACTGTTACATTCTTTAAATAACTTCATATCACCGAAAGAATGTTCTGACTTTTTTTTCCTTTTTGCCCTCCTTTTTTATGTTTTTATTTGATTTGACACGATGTCTCGTTAGTTGTTTTCGTCTTGTATTTTGTTGGCTTGAGTGTCTATATCTCAGTTGTGAGATATGCAGGCCTGGAGATATGATAAACATGCCATTTATATCTTGGCAGGGTTAAGAAAAGTGTCAGGGATAATTCTGTTATTTACCAGGAATGAACAATGGCTTACACGTACATGACCCCTGCAAAGGGATATCTTCCACGTTCCTAACACCTGATTATGAGAGAATGTCCCTCAATTGACCAATTTGCTCACGCTTACGCGAAATGTCTCTCTGACCTTGTCTCTCGAATAAAACGACTCGGAAGCTCTTATGAACTATCATTAGTAATTATTAGCCAAAAAGGAAAAAGACTATTTAATTTCTACATCTAAATATGGAACGAAACAAATAGTCTTCAAATGTGTGATCAGTCAAATGATCTTTCAGAAATCTGCACGTTACCAGCAGGTGATCTTGTAACGGCAACCCCTTATTTGATAACATTCCAAATAATTTTCTGTTATTTCTTTCACTTGTAGTGCTTTCCATGACTTAATATCAAATTGTAACTCTTAGTTATTTTACTTTCAAACCGGAAGGCACTTCAGTACCGGTGTCCCAGCGGATTTGGACCCCCCTAGAATTGGACCCCCCGGGGTCCATATCCGCTAGCGGATTTGGACTCCCCTCCGCGGATTTGGACCCCCCTCCGCGGATTTGGACCCCTTTAACAAAACTGAGTAAAAACATTACCATACATAACTTCCTAATAGAAATAATAAAAATTTAGAAAGTAGGCTTTCAAAGAAAGTTTTTTTTTCAGAAAGTAGGTTTTTATTTTAAAACATTCTCGTAGACGTGATCTTTTTCTCAGCATTGCGTCTCAATTTAAGGTTTTCGTTTAATTAACCTGCAGCTGTAAGTCTGTTGTTTACCTCTGGAATGAAAATGAAACGTAAATTTTGAAATCATTTGTTTGCTTGCCAGTTCTCTTGAAAAAGTGTGAAATATAAAATAATAACAACCGTTGAATGCGTGAAAGCTTCAATTATGATTGTTTTTTTTTTTTTGGTTTTGTGAAATACCGATTGCTCAAATCTCGACTTCTAAACTTCCGACAACTTCAACAAAAAGCCTTTAGTCAACGCAATTTCTCGAATTAAGCTTTATTTTCACGAAGGTTCGAAAGAATCGGGAATTCGCTGTTCGTTTTCCTCAACTGATATGCGTTGCTCCGCCTACTTTAATTTTATACGGTTGAACAATTTACTTCTTTATTAAGTTATTCTGTTATGATGTTATTTTAGGCGCACCGTTAAATAAACATCGCGTTGCGTTTGTGCTACTTGCTACTTACCTCTTGAATGAAAGTAATTAAGTTAAACTTCAAGTCTTTTTAGCGCTCTTGTCAAGTTAAAAACAGAGTGTTTGGTAGGGTGAATTAACAAAAAGTAGATGATAGACAATAAGACACCGCTATATTCTAATTACATTGTTTTCTTTCCTTTTCTTTTTAATCTTTTTCTCGTCTAGATTCTTTTCTTTTTTGAAATCTAGCGCTTTTCACCAGAAGCCTTGAAAAGCGTGTCTTTATGTACCGCAAGTGTGTAACTTTGAATCAAACGTTCTCATAATACTCTTTAACGCGTAAAAGTTATAGTTAGTGTTGCGCTTGGTCTGTTAAGCACCGACCATAAAAAGTTATTTTCAGTGCGGTTATAAAATGTTTCACAACTTACTAACTGATAGAGCAAATATAAAAACGGTTTAACTCATTTAGTTAAACTTATTTATTGATATTGTTTTTGTCTAGTCGAATGTTAACAAATTATCGGTATGAAGTGATAAACATGTACTAGACAATAGGTCGCTTTTAGACGATAATTACATTGTCTTGATATATAGAAATGTTAATAAGCGTGGAACGTGTTACAGCAATTATTCATTTATGTTATTGTTACTGTGTGCAGCACAATAAAAAGTTTAGTTTCTCCGCCTACTGCAAAGGTTTTATTTTACTTTTATTGTCTTCGCTATGTATAAAAGGGCACTCAATTCCACAAGTGTTATCATTACTTTTATGATTCATTCCATGAACGATGGCCGAAACGAAAACGTACAACGAAGTCTTTAACTATCTCCGCGATAACGAATATCCGATCGATTTTTCGAAAGACCAAAAGAGAAACTTGCGCAAGAAAGCGCTAAAATATGTTCTTGAAGATGGTGCGCTTTATTTCATTGGCCAGAAAAAAAAAGGTGAGCCTAAAAGATGGGTTCATTGCCAAGACGAGCAGCAGAAGATACTGAGAGCTTGTCACTCTGACAAACTTGCTGGGCACTTCGGCCGTGACAAGACGAGAGAAAAGGTTTGTACAAAATTCAATGCTACTTGTCTTGAACTTTTAAATTGTGGAGACGATTTACTTTGTCAGTTATTAACTGTTGTGCTCCTGTTGTTCTTCCAGGTTACATCTCGGTATTATTGGGCTAGAGTGTTAGAAGACTGCGATGAAACTGTCAAGCGTTGTGATGTTTGCCAGCGTACCTCAAAGAAATTCGAAAAACTTTCTGCCCAGCTACATCCGATTAAAGTAAAGGACACCGTGTGGCATCGGATTGGTATCGATCTGGTAGGACCTCTGCCCGAGACGTCCCGTGGCAATAAGTATAAGTTGATCACCTGTACCTGCTATTTCAGCAAGTGGCCAGAGGCAGCTCCTCTCAAAAGCAAATCGGCTGAAGGTATGTGGTATCCGATATTAAAATTAGTTGTAACGAACTGAGATTTGTGAACTCGAAAAAGAAAAAGGAAAAGTACAATCTTTTGCCTAGTATCTTAACTCTGCTGTTAATAAATTGTTCAGAATTTATTTTCTAAGGAAATTATTCGCCGTCAGATTCCCATACAAACACAGTAAATTTGGGGCTGACATGTCAATCTACCCTAGAATGCAACGTGTGGCGCCATCTTTTTACGTATCGTGAAGGCTTTAAACCATAGAGTAGTCTTTTTGTTTACACTTATTTCAAATTAAGACTTAACAAGAGTCATTACCTTATTACATAACAGAGTTAGCAAACTATTTGAGTTAACACTCACGCAAACGGTAAACGTTTTTTTTTTTTTTGTCTGCCATTAAGCGTGTGTGAGAGAAATGTAAAGGGTTCGCGTTTGTTATTAATTAATTTTTTTTCTTTTTACTATTTTCTGTGAGATTTTCTTAAGAATTCGATACAAATACACAAAAAAATAAGCACAGCTCAAGTTTACTATGTTTATTCTTTCGGTTGTCATTACTGGTTGAAACGTCGCAATTCACAAGGGCCAAATGAAATAACAATTTGTCTAGAGTCGAGTTTAAAAAAGTTCTGCATTTGACTTAGCGTGTGTTCACTAACTGAAGTTAGATTGCTTAAGGGAATTCCCTTGAAATAAAACTGCTCCTAGACTTCATTCAAACTTTACCTATTGATTGTTAATATCGAGAAATTTTACCAAGAAGGTGTTACTTTTGAAAACATAAAATAAGCTTGGGCCTCAAGAACTTAAAACACGCGACACGCAACCATTAGGGAAACGACAGTCGATATATTTACAAACGAATCCGAAGCAAGGCCTCGAGTCAAAATTCAAACTCCGTTTGAACTCGACTTGCTTTAAGGAGGCTCGAAAGGGTTTTTAGCGCGCGCGCTCGCTTTTACTGCTCGCGTCAGCTTGGAATCCAAATTGCCATA